CTTAAGTGGTACAATGATGTTCTACCCTACATCCAAATTCAACTTGAAGCTCTCGTCAGTCACTGCACACGACACACTTCACGCTGTCATGTAATAAACTGTGATGGATGCACTGCTATCAAAGCCCATTACTCCATTCAACCATGCACTGCTATAATGGAAATGCCTACATTCCCAGTAATACGGGACTGCTCCACCCTAAAAGCCTGAGTGTCTGTTTGTTTCTAAAGAATGTAGAAAAGGTCACCCTGACTATAAATACTGACTGTAAAGCACTTAGATGACTTGCATTCTTTACATGGTTTTTTCATCTGCGTATTAATTCAGTTAGAGATTTAAAAAAAAAAAAATGGGACATGGGGAAACGCTTATTCTCTGGAGAAAAGTCTACACCCGGCGTGATGATAGATTGCAAAATATAGGCTATTAAACCAATAACAGGGTTACTTTATTTGTTCAGCATTGACATTTGCTGGAGAATTAACACAAATGTGGGTTCTTGATTGCATACATTTCATGGATCACTACCGACCAAATGCCTGAACACACACAGCATGGTTAAAACCCCCACAACAAATGAATCATTTCTACCATTTCCTGTGAGTTCAGCTTAAAGTTTCATCTACTGAAAATTAAAGTCAGTAGACCTGAAAAATGCTAAAGTTTGCACATGAAGAAGACACAGACATGTAATTACTCACAGCAAAAGATTGAATGTTTTTGGTTTCACAGATCTTCCTTAAGAAAAATGATCACATGGTGTATGATAAGATATTACTAATAGATTAAAAAAATATTGTTTTGTATAAAAGGTTATTTGTTATTATAGCATTACCAGTATCTCATAAATACCTTCTTCTAATCTGGTCTTTAGACAAACAGGATCATGAGGACAGCATCGTTGTGTATCGTTCTGCTCATTTTGCATTATGTTTTAGGTGCAGTATTTCATTTCTAACATTTTTGATATTCTTTTCCTTTTAGATAACATTTTCTAAAAAGAGAACATTTTATTTAGTTTTTTTTGTCATTGTATGCTATTGTTGTGTATTATACAAGTAATTAATTATAATAATCCAAAAGGTTGCAAAGGTTATACAATGTACAATAAGCAGGCTGTTAATTGATATAATCGCATGTTTGCTGTCCATGGTGCTGAAATAAAGCACATACTGACGTTTCCTTCATTCACCAAACATTGCACCATATCTCACATTCCTACGTAACAGTTGAAGAAGGAAGTGCTATATGTACAAATGCCAGATTCTCACCAATCATACTGCCACCTGAATAATACTTTCCTCTAGGTTCACCGGTTTCCTCCCATCTCACAAATGGAGAATTGGCTGCACTAAACTGTGAGTGTATGTGGTGCCCTGTGATGAATTAGTGTCCAATCTAGGGTGTATTCCCACCTCAGATAGATTCTGGATCAATTGAGACCATGGACAGGAAAATGTCGTTACTGATTGTAGCAGTAAACATTATGCTCTACCACCAATTAGGCACTGCAATCAATCCATACATGCATAAATACTACAAATCTATGACAGTGTAGCACTTTGCATTCCATACTTATGACATTACTTAACATATAACCTTTAATTAAATATCAGACAGTACTGAGGGTAAAAGGTGTCAAACGGCATCTAACAGACTTTAATCTATGTGACCGGACTTCCAATATAGCACTATTCACTATAAACAATTAGAAATGTTTCTCACCATTAAGCTAACAAAGCTAACAAGTCAAGTAATTAATGTGTCATCATCCATTTTATCTTAATCACCGCGAGAGGGACTACAGTTGCCTTTGAAAGGCACCACAGGAGCCATAATCCACTAGGAGCCAATTAACTATTGCATTAAATTCCTGCCTTTGGTAACGCATCCCATTTACATTAGCAGATTTCCTGCTCACCGGGCTTGTTTAGCGGGTCAGCTAAGCAGCTAATGACTTGCAAACATGGAAATAAAGGCCTTGTTGTGTCTCTGTGTCGAGTCAAAGTGGACTGACCTGAATATGGCCTTTTTCATCACAAGAGGATTGATAAACAAGTCGTGTTTCAAAGCAAATGTGAAATTAGATGGGAGGAAAGTCAAGCCCTGGCGGGTTTTACGCAAAAAGCATGCCTGATTTAAAACATTCAGTATTTGTGAAGCAAATTAACTTCCAGTGCATTTGCAGCTGTTGTTTGGGTTTAAAATAATTTTGAAAAAAAATTGGTCTGAAGAGAAATGCTTACCAGATGAAAAAAGGGAGCTTTCTATAGCAAACTATAGGAAAAAAAAAAAGTTGCTAATATGCAGATAACCTTTGAATTTATCTAGGTACACATAATTCTCCTTTTCTTGGTTTTCCCAGCAAAAACTATTACAAACGACACAAATATAACTCATTTCCCCCAATGATCTCCCAACAAATAATATTACAGAAAACATATGTGGTATGTCTAATTTCCTCCAAGGTTCTCAAGATGTAAGCTAACAAATAGTACAAATATCTCTCTAAATATCCTCAGAAATCTGCCAACAAATGTCTCTAAATCTTTTCACATATAAGGTTGTAAATATTCTGGAAAGTAACATACATATCCCCCCCAAAAAAGTGCCTAAATAACATGAATCAATCTTCAAATCTTACTCCTAATAAGTGCATAGAATAAACACATTTCATCACCTGGATCTCGTTAAACAACAGTAATAACAGAAATGAATACTACACTGGCTGTATGGCTGTTTTGAAATTGAACTAAACTGCTACATCAGAAGACATTAAGTGAATATGATGTTACTTGCAGTTTGTTCCGATAATTCCTCACTACAGTGCACTAATTACTATCAGTGTGTTAACCCCCAGTACGTGTAAGTGCAGTGAATAAAAATAAATTATAGCTTCCTGCTCCTCAGAGACACATACCTGTAAATTAGCATTCATGATTTTTTGTGAATAACAGGTAGGCTTATGGAGGTAGTTTTAACCATGACAGCTACATTAGACTCGATAAGCTTTTAACAAAACCTGTGCTTTTATTTCAAGAGAGGTGCTTGTAGTTTTGAATTCACTTCAAAATGCTTTAGCTCTTACTACGACATGAAATGTTATACCTAACCAAATGGGTTTAGATTTGAACTCTCTGTGCGTGAGTGGGATCCAAATCAATAATGCTGTTTATGTAACAGATGAATTAGGCAGACTTGACACATACAGCATTCTCAGTAATTATGCATTTAGACTATAAAGAGCAGGAGTGGATTGGTGTAGAGTAAGCTAGTGTGGGAAAGACAGTTTATTAGATTATTGCTGCTATAATGTGACTGCTGACAAACAGGAAATAATTTGCTTTGTGTTACACAACATTCAAATATACTTTGTGTTGTTCTTTAATTAATAAAATAAAATAAAATTTAAAAAAATGGGCTGTGGTTTGAGATAAAATACCTCAAGATGTCATGTTATTGGAAAATAATCAACTTTAGACTGGTAACAGTGGCTCTACGGGACACAACAAACCACACAATCTTTGACTATTTTCCCATAACAACACAGCGTGTCATATTTTATCCCTTACATAACGTCATTTAGCATAAATGCTGAACTTCTTCTGCAAATCGACTGCATACGGAACTACTTTTCTCAGCAAAAGGTATAACTGCTCTTTAGTGTAGAATTTTCCACAATACTTTATTTGGACAATCCATTTTAGAAACGTGGCAATGAACAAATCATCTACAGGCTGTCAACATCAGGAGCTCAATACATTGGACTGTTTAATTTAAAAAAATAAATAGTTCACAGGTTGATTTCTTGGACTAGATCAGTTTAAATATAAAACTTTTGACCACTATTTAGCAATAGAAATATAGTACATAAGGCTGTAGGATTTGAGTCTTCAAGTCTGGTCTTGAGACGTTTTCTGTGTTTAATTGGACTTGTCTCTGAAATATTACCATTAATACTTGGACTTGTGGGGGGCATGGTGGCTTAGTGGTTAGCATGTCTGCCTTGCACGTCCAGGGTTAGGAGTTTGAATCATGTCTCCGCCCTGTGTGCACAGAGCTTGCAGAGTTTCCCAGGGCTTTGGGGAAGAAACTTTCAGAGTTTCCTCCGGGTACTCCGGTTTCCTCCCCCAGTCCAGACATGAATTGTTATGACATGAAGAGTTAGTTCTTTCATCGGAGCCCAGCAAGACTGGCAAGCCCAGCAAGCAAATCGGAGACCACAAGAATGCAAGTTTGTTCTTTGCATTCTTAGAACTGAGACACAGCCATGGTCTCAACCCTCAATCTTAGCAAGTCCTGGTCTTGAACTTGAGAGTGGTGGTCTTGATACAGTAAAATATATACATTTAAAATAACAAGTTGATGTTGGGCTCTTAAGATGGCCAAGAAAATGTGAGAGTCCCTGAGTTAATGTAGCAGAGGTCAGTTACATTTCTTATTGCTTGTTCCAGTTTGGAAAAGCAGTTGAAAAGAAATACGATAACAAACTCACAAATCTCCAGCTCGATCAACACCTCTGTTCCTCCCCATTCATTTATAAGCTAAATGCACATCCGAAGAGAGAACACATAAATATGGGTTAGACAACAAGGTTACGTGTGCTGCATCAGAACTTATCCTTCCAGCTTTTCCCAAAATCCCTAGAAGGCTATAATACTTTCAACTTGCATAAGTGCAGATAGTGATTAGAATTCTGATGTTTACCAACAATACTTCCATCCATCCATCTTCTACCGCTTATTCCTTCTTCAGGGTCATGGGGAACCTGGAGCCTATCCCAGGGGGCATCGGGCACAAGGCGGGGTACACCCTGGACAGGGTGCCAGTCCATCTCAGGGCACAATCACATACACACACACACACACACACACACCCAAATGGACAATTTAGACACGCCAATCAACCTACCATGCATGTCTTTGGACTGAAGGAGGAAACTGGAGTACCCGGAGGAAACCCCCGCAGCACGGGGAGAACATGCAAACTCCACACACACATGGCCCTGGTGGGAATCGAACCCCGGACCCTGTATGTGTGAGGATCGTGCTAACCACTAAGCCACTGTGCGCCCCCAACAACACTTATATGTGTGAATGCTGAATGTAACTGTTAAATCTGACCAATTGAGGGTTGATGTAAAATATTTGGAGCAAACGGAAGAGTTACAGCAGCATAATATTCATAAGAGAGAGACAGGATGTTATTCAACATTCTCTGTAACTCCAACGATCATAGTCAGTGCCTGTAGCATGGGTGAAAACACAAGTAAGGAACATAATCCATCCTGACAATGCCACAGCTTTCTCTGGCCCAGGAGCCATAGGAGAAAAATTGGCCGTGGTCTCTGGCTGGGAGGGACGACATACTCTCATCATTGTTAATCACAGGAGTCTGTGAACTCATGTAGAGTGAGGGAAAAAAGTATTTGATCCCCTGCTGATTTTGTACGTTTGCCAACTAACAAAGAAATGATGAGTCTATAATTTTAATGGTAGATTTATTTGAACATTGAGAGACAGAAAAACAACAAAAAAAATCCAGAAAAACGCATGTCAAAAATATTATAAATTTATTTACATTTTAATGAGAGAAATAAGTATTTAACCCCTCTGCAAAACATGACTTAGTACTTGGTAATGATTTAGTAATTACTTTTCATTTTCAATGCCCTGGCTGAGGGAAGGAGGTTCTCACCCAAGATTTGACGGTACATGGCCCCGTCCATCGTCCCTTTGATGCGGTGAAGATGTCCTTTCCCCTTAGCAGACAACACAACACTTTCACCCAGTTGTCCTCTGGTGGTCAGAAGAGACCAAAATGGAGCTCTCTGGCATCAACTCAACTCGCCATGTTTGGAGGAGGAGGAATGCGGCCTATGACCCCAAGAACACCATACCCACTGTCAAACATGGAGGTAGAATCATTATGCTTTGGGGGTGTTTTTCTGCTAAGGGGACAGGACAACTTCACTGCATCAAAGGGACGATGGACGGGACCATGTACTGTCAAATCTTGGGTGAGAACCTCCTTCCCTCAGCCAGGGTATTGAAAATTAAAAGTAATTACTAAGTCATTACCAAGTACTAAGTCATGTTTTGCAGAGGGGGTCAAATACTTATTTCCCTTATTAAAATGTAAATAAATGTATAACATTTTTGACATGCGTATTTCTGGATTTTTTTGTTGTTATTCTCTCACTATTCAAATAAATAAACCTACCATTAAAATTATAGACTGATTACTTTTTTGGTAAATGGGCAAACATACAAAATCAGCAGGGGATCAAATACTTTTCTCCCTCACTGTATGTGGAAGAGGGCAGATAGCACTTTTCCTCAGAGTGTGTTGCACTGCCCTGTGACGTAGCATGAGTAGCAGTTTGAAAAAAGATGTGGTTGGCTCTCTTCACATCTCAAAGTAAGCATGTCTTAACCTTCACCCTCCCTAGTTGGTAACTATTGAGTGATTCCTTTTTTCTCATCCATGTATATGAATGGTTGCACTCATTTATATTGAATGGAACTATTTATGTTGTTTAATCAGTTTTACTGTATATGGAAATATTTCAAGTAATCAACAAGAAACTACCCTAAGGAAATACCCTACTACCTGTACCTAATCAAATCCTTATCTGACATGCAGGACATGATCTAGGTCCAGTGCATGTGAGAGTTCAAGCACTTTCCATTAACCCATTAATAAATATCATGCAAAACTACATATATATTTACAACCCCACGTGAGGAGCATGCTGGTGCAGAGAGCCTATTCAAAAATCTTACGTAAGTCCCTCAAAAGGCTAGAGCATATCTTTAAAACTACAAGTGTATCCAATGCTTAGTCTGAAGCATTTGAGCCAAGATCATTTGTAATTTTGCAACCTGAAGCCATGCAAGGTTACAATTTCCGAACTTGAAACAATATGAGCAGTAGGTAAAATAAAGTTAACTTATACTCAAGTTCTACAACATTCTCCAGTTCTGCCTCCTAGGGCACAAACGAAGCCTATTTAGAAGTAGAGATATTAATTAGAATATTAACAGCACGAGACCATCGCAGTTTGTCGGCATTGTTTGTGGTTTCTCAGCATGCAAATTCAATCAACATTCCCCCATCTGCTTGTTTGTTGTATTGCAATCACTTGCATGCATATACATTCTCTCTCTCTCTCTCTCTCTCTCTCTCTCTCTCTCTCTCTTACAAACACACACAGAGATGCTTTCAAATGAATGCTGCATAAGCACTAAATGTGTCTCGCCCCATGCTGAGTCTGTGGACGAACAAACAGAGCTCACTGTAGACTAAAGCAGAAAGGAACTGACTAATTGCTGTTGTGGATGGTCTCACATTGATACCCTAAAGAGTTACACTTCCCAGTTTATGTCCAAGAATCACTTTTGCTTCAGTGGATAATCTCAAATCTCCCAAGACTGTACACTTGTACCAAAGTACTGCTGCCATAATCATAAAACCTGCCCTGTGCTCATCCCAGGACTCTTACTCCCAGTATACTCACGCTAAACATCCTTTTAACACACAACACACTCAGTATTGTTTGTCTTTGACACCAAATACTGTCTCAGGAAGTTTGCCCACACCTCTGTCTCCTGTGGGGACGTCAGTCTACATCCTAATTTCTGTATAGCTTCTTTGTTACAATATTTATTGTTAAAAGTGGTATACAAATGAAATCGAATTGAATTCTGTAGTTGTTCAGTCCAATAATAAAACATCCATTCATTTGACAATGCTAGATTTAAAGAAAAAAAAAATAAACGAAATGAAAAAGAAGAAGATGTAAGAAGAAGAAGAAGAAGAAGAAGAAGAAGAAACAGTAGTAAATGTTGCTTACATTAGCTATCTCAGATCTAATATGTAAAAAGCTATATTCATTCAGGTTTCAGAGAACACTCCAGGTTTCCATTTCTCTTTAGAGGAGCAGGTTTTTTTTTTTTTTTTTTTTTTGTTTTTTTACAGCGTCATGGAGGATAAGCATAATGCTATTATGGCTAATGCTTCACTTTCAATATGGATGCTTTTAGTAAATACATTTAGAGTGTATGCACACACAAGACACACACACACACACACACACACACACACACACACACACACACACACACACACACACACACCATCATCCCTTCAAGTCAGCAATTCACTCCAAACCCAAAAAAGTGGCCTAAAACCCAAAGGCATTTTAAAGATATCGCAGAGCACAAAGGTCGTTTGTGGTGTAGTTTGTTTATGCCAAAGTGCTGCCGCAGTGACTTTCAGTCTGTGTGTGTTTGTAAATACGTCACCTCTTTCACCATACTTTTTCCATTTCTGTCCACGCCACATACAAAGGGTGCTGTAGGTGAATCCTTTCTGGATTATCTGAGCACCACAAACATACAACTCCATTCAGCACACATACATATATATATAAAAAAATTAATCTAGGATGAGAAAAAATGCTCTTACCGTGAAAATCTTAACAAGTTGAATGTTCTCAATTTAATTGAATAATGGGGTCTCCCACAAGTTCTTTTAACGTGGTGCCCATGTAGGCTCACATAGTGTGCTTTATATTTCACCAAACGGGAATCAAACTCGGGTTTCAGGAGTGAGAGCACTGCATGCTAGCCACTGGTCCACCTACTTTAGCGGCTAAATCCCCGAAATTACTGACTACGACTGGATTATTTGAATCACTAGAACTTTGAATCACTTCTTTCTAGAGTTTTCTTAAAAAAAAACATTGTTAGTGTGTTGTTAATATCTTGCATCAGATTTTCATTAAATTCAGTGCTAGTGCTTGCTACACATATTAAATTCATAACATAAAATAAAAAAAAACAGTTAAATACATTAAAATGTGCATCTTTATTTTTAATTCACAGAATATTTGAAGTTCGGATTTTAATTTAACAGCCCGAGAGTAGACAAGAGGACAGAAGTAGAGCAAAAGGCTAAAATGCCGGTCTGTCAGGAATCTCGACTTCACACCGGGCACTCCGTGCAGAAACCCTAAGCGTGCAGAGTGTGTGAAACTATTTTCGTTTTCTCGTTTGTGTATTTTGGGTTATCTCTGCGTTTGCTGTTTGCTGATCGCTTGGCCTGTGTTCTGTTTACTGATTTTGATTTGCAATTTGAATTTGTCTGCATGCCTCTCAAATAAAACGCTCAAACTGCACTGGCATCCGTTTCTACTCGCTGAACGGGACATGGTCACATTCATTCTCATGTAAACAAACATGCATGTAAACACAGCGGGTAATATCGAGGTCAGCAGAATTGATCGGGGTCATGTCCAGATATCGTACGATAAGTCGATAAAGTAATTACCATGACAGACCGAGCGTCAGTGTGCTTGTTGTAAAATATTATCACTTGTATTGTAACATCGCTCCAAATAAACGGATTAAAAATGTGTACAAACATTAACATGTGTTATATGGTGCCGTCTTCTGTAAGCATTTATGGAAGGAGTCTCCAGTGTCAGTGCTTAAGGTTCACATGTTCCACCTACGGAAAGTCTTCAGGACTGACAGTCTTGTGCTTTATAGTTTCTATATCACATGATTTTCTCTTAACCAATTTAAGGAAGACTGGAAAAAATAGATGCTGGTGAGGGAACGACTGTTTATAGCTGCTATAACGTGTGTGATAACACAAGTTACCTTGTTTTAACGGGCATTCCATAATATTAAATGCAACTATAAATGAATAAAAATTATGATGTGTTGCTCATTAAAAAAAAATTTAATCCTTGGCAAATTGCTGTGGTATAAGAGGAGTTTGGGGTGTGCTATTATAGGAAAGCAATCGACTTTAGGTTGGTAACAAGGCCACTTCACACCACAGTGTCTAGGATTGTTATTTTCCTTTTTCTTGCATAATACATCATTTCAAATTGTAAATGCTGAAAATTCTCATCATCAGCAATTACTGTCATAGATGAAGCAAAGGCTAAATCCCACTGCTGCCACTGTAAGCAGGTCCTTAAACAGCATTGTGGGGAATGTACAACCCCAATTCCGAAAAAGTTGGGACAGTATGGAAAATGCAATAAAAACAAACAAA